AGTGGAGTTACCGTCTTGGCGGACCACTCAAGTCAGCGAGGCTCATACGTTCATTTCCCCCTCCCCCCCAACTTTGGCTACTGGGTCTCACCTGGCTATCTGCTGGGAGAGACCTCCACCCCACTGGCTACCGCTGACAACCCCCGGAAGTCTGGAGAGGGGCCCCAGGAAAAGCCCAGCTCCGAACCCCCACTTCATTGCTCTGTCTTTGCCTAGTTACACCTGGGAGCTGCTACAGGCAGAATTGGGGCGCTGTATTCCTGGGCTCTGAGCCAGGTCCCCAGGAAGGAAAGACAGTCTCCCGCACAGGTGCTGAGTTGAAGCCCACTGCCAGCGAGGGAGGCCCAGCTCCCAGCACCCCACCAGGTATCCCTCCGAAGGTCCTTCCTTGCCACACACTCCGTGACCCGCATGATCAGGGTCCAATTTCTTACCTGAGACTCTCCAGGACCCAGCAGCAGAGGTGGCCAACCTCGGCCTCCCCGTTTTCTCCAACCGTAAAATGGGGCTTAAGCTTTTTCCTGCAGAGCAGTCAGCCTGGCGTCCATAGGGAACCCAGGCGTCCTTAATCGTCACTTAACAAGCATCCTGATTGGCTTGAGCTGTGAGGGCGGACTATGCCAAATTGGAATTAGGACCAAAAGCTGTTCTCCAAGCTGTTAGTTCCACACTCAAGGGTCTTAGATAACTGGGCCCGGAGACGCCAAAGGGGTGTGCTGAGCTGCTGCGGGGTGGCCATGCGCGGGCAGTGGCGTGTCAGAGGGTGGGAAGGGGACGCAGGGCTGTCTCCGGGAGTTGGGAGTGGTAGGGAGCTGCCAGGACACCCGAGCGGCTGCCTCCAGGGCAGGCCATCCCGTGGACCTGGGCTGAGGGACACGGCTGACCGATGCGACACCCGCTAGCCAAACCCCTCTACAACCAACCCATCACACACTGCAGCCTGACCCCAGCACCGAAGGCGCCAGAAACGCCAGCTCCAGGCTTTTCACCTGAGGCGGCCCCCTGAGGGCCGGGCCCGAGGGCAGAGTGGCGGCGCCGCGTCCCAGGCGGTCTCCCTCACACCCCGGGTCTCTTCCCTCCCCTCCCTCCACGCTCCGGCTCCCCTCGAGCGCAAGAACCGGCGTCGTCGGCCCTCGGGGGGCCCGGCCTCAGTTTCCCCTCGCTGCCGCGGGGACCCGCTGACGAGGAGGTGGCCCACCCCCCCGGGGACCCCCGCGCGCCGACGGAGAGCACAGAGTAGGCGCTCCGGAAACGCTCTCCAGGAGGAGGGACAGGCCACTTCCTGCCCCCGGGGCGGACGACGGCGAGCGCAGGTCCCACCGCTCCCCCTCGGAGGCCATGTGGCATTCCTGAGGTGGGGGTGGGTGGGCGCAGGAAGAAGGTGCCCGAAGGCCCCGCCCCCTCCGGGCGCGCGGGGCGGGGCGAAGCCCCTCGGCGCCGGCGGCCCGCCCCGCGGGGGTGGGCGTCGCGGGCCGCGCTCCGCACGAAGTTTGTTTTCTCCCAGCGGGCGGCCGGGCGGGTGGGGGAGGAGAGGGGATCTGACGTCAGGCCGCGAGGTGCTTTCCAGCCGCGAGCTGTCAGGGCCGGGTGTCAGGCCCGGCAGGTACGCGGCGCGCTCCCCCCGGCGGCCCCCCACCCCGGCCGAAGGACGCCCCGCGCCTCACGCCGAGACCGCCGAGACCGCCGGCCCCGCTCGCGAGAGCCAGTGCGGGGCGCTAGGGGGGCGCGCGGGGGCGGGGGGTCTCGAGGATAACTTGGAAAGTTTTTCTCGACTCGGCCGGGCGGGGGAGGGGGCGGCGTCCGGCGCGTGCGGCTGAGGGTGCGGGAGCGCGGCGGGAGTAGGGGGGGTTGGGAGGGAGGGACGTGTGTGGCTGCCGGTTCGGGTGGGGGGTGGGGGTCCTCCCCCCCGGGAGGGGGGAGGAGGTAGGCGCCTGGCTCGCCGGGATCCCACCCTGGGAGGAGGCCGCCCTTGCCCCGGACCTGAGTGAGCGCGCGGGGGGCGGGTTTGTTTGGTTTCAAAAGTGCACGTTGCTAACCGCCGGCCTGCCACCCCCCCAACCCCCCCCTCAGTGTCCGCGTCGGGGGAGGGGGCCGCCGAGAGTGACAGCTGGGGGTGGGGGCAGCGGGCAGGGCCCCGAGCGGGGAGGGCTGGGGAGCCCGCGCGAGTTCCCCTTTCCTTTTGGAACAAAGGAAAGTCTGTCTCCGAGGCATCTGTCACTCCCGGGCGGGCCAAGGAAGCGGGGCGCGTGGGGCCCAGCGACCCGGAGAAAGTTTGTGCGCGCTGGGAGCGGCGAGAAGGCCGAGGAGGGTGAGCCGAGCTCCCGCGATGGGTGGTGGGGAAGAGGGAAGCTGGCCGTCCCAGGGGGCAGGGGGCGGCCAACATGGAGTCTGGGCGCTGGGCTGGAGGGGGGGCGGCGCGGAGGTGGGAGCCCAGCCCCCTCCCCCTCCCCCTCCGAGCCGAGTTCTCCAGCACAAAGCCCAGCGCGCACGCTCCACCGGGCCCCCGCGCCCCCAAGAGTCAGCAGCTCCGAGCGAGTGGCCGGGAAGGGGGTGGGAACCAAAACTTTTTTCCTGCCCAGGAGAGGGACACGTGAGTTTTTCTTTCTTCCAGAACTCTTCGCTCCCACGGTTATCGCGGCTCTGTTGGGGAAGCCGCAGTGCCGAGTCTGGCCGCAGAATGGGGTGCGGGGAGTGAGGGCACCCCGAGTGCTGCTGCGTCCTCGCTGTGCCCGCAGCCATGTGCTCCACAGCTCCAGCAGGGCGGCCGGGGAGGTTGCGCGCTTTGTGTGAACTGCAGGGAATGCGAACGGGAGTGCGGGCCCGAGGTGGGGGAGTTGTCAGCAAGTTCCTGCTGGAGTGGCTGCAGGTGGCGGCGTGGGGTTGTGTAGGAGGCTGCAGGAGGCCTTGTGTCCAGGGGGTGTTGTCACAGACTGGGAACAAGTGGCTCTCGGAATGACATCTTTGGACTGTCCCCCTGTCCCCCATCCGAGAGGACGTGGGTGGGCACTGGCTAGTTCGCAGTTGATGTGAGCGCAGGGGGCCTGTAAGTTGTGTGTGTGACTGGACGCATGCAGCGAGAAACGTGGAACTTGGGCGCTGAGTGGGAGCAGGGTGTCACAGTCGAGCATCTCAGCCTGGCTTGGCACATCTGGGAACCAGTGTGGGGTCTGCATGAGGGAAGTGGGCTGGTGTAGACTGAGGAAGGGTGGTCCGCAGGCCTACCCGTGGAAAGTCTCTTGCAGGCAGACGCTTGGCTAGCAGCCAGGGTGGAATCTAGCCAGATAACCTTGAGTAAACTTGGCAGTCTTGCCAGGGCAGCATCCCTGAGCCCAAAGCCCGGGGAGATGTGACCTCCTGGAGCAGTGTGTTGGTGGTGCCCTGCCGAGTGCCATCGCTCTCCAGGGCAGTCCTGGCCTCCAGGTGGCCTGGCCAGGAGTGGGGACCCTTCCCTCGAAAGCCTGGCCTGGCTGGCCTGAAGGCCTGGGCTCCGGCCCAAGTCCAGGAAGCAAAAGCTGGGAGATGCCAGGGTCTGTTGGCTCAACTGACTGCGGGAGCTGTTACAGGCTGAGGAGGGAGGAGCATTGAGATCCTGGCCTTGGCCTGGCCCAGAATTCTTGTGTTTTAGACTTTTGCATTTGTGAACAAGAGGCTAGTGTGGCCCTTGAGCATCCGAGTTAGGTTATCTAGGGATGAAAGTATGCAAGGGTTGGACAGGTGAAGTAGGGTGAGGGAGGGAGGTTTCAGGCCCAGAGAAGGAAGGATGCTGATCCAGGGTCTCACAGGTGAAGGGTGGGTTGAGCAGGCAGAGAAGGACCAGATTAAACGTTTCGGAGTGGGGACTTCATGCAGAGTATACTGCTTGCCACCTGCAGGCAGTGGTCTGCAGTACTGCGAGGACCTGGGAACTGTGACAGACCAGGGCAGGGTTGGGGGACCACTTGACTATTGATATCCTTCTTTGTGTGACTCACAGCAGACATTCAAGTGTACACTTTGTTGGTTCTCTGCGGATTCACTGCTCCATCGCCATCACTGAAGGACGTTTTAAACTTCCCGTTTAAACGTTTTAAACTTCCCGTTGAGAACATTGGGTGCCATGGTCTAGGTACCACTTGGGGCACCTGTGTAGGTTGAGTCTTAGCTCCGTTGATGGCAGCTCCCTGCTAAGGGATGCCCTGGGAGGGATGCAGGAGGTAGTGGCCCAAGGACTTGGGTCCTTGTCCGCTGGTCCTGCCTGGACTGTTGGCTGACTCTGGGAAGTGAACTAGCACGTAGATGGTTTTCTCTGCATTACAGATGAAATGAAAATTAATGTCCTCTAAAAAGGAGGCCTGGCGTGCTTCTGTGTCCTGCCCAATGATGGTGAGCTTTCCATCTGCAGCCCTGTGTTTCTCACCTGCTGTGTCTCACAGGGAATCACATGGCTCGGGCCTGTTGGGGGCCCGCTAATTTCGTTTGGTGTAATGCGCTTGAGGTTCAGCCAAGTGGTGGTCAGTGGCAGGGCTTTGACCTCCTCCCTGGGGCCCAGTACTACACCAGGTCACAGGCTGGGCTGCAGTTTTGACCCTGGGAGTGTTTTCTGCCTGTGGGTTGCTGAATGGCAGAGATGCACACACGTGTGTGTGAGGTCTCATGTGGACATGGGCAACTCATAGCAGTGAGGTGGCCAGGTTGCGCCATCTTGACCTGCTGAGGTAGAAGGGACTGATTTCCTCGCCTCTGTATCTTCACTTGGCGATAGCGGTCACTTCTTGCATGCTGGGCGATGGTCAGGATTAAGTAAAATCGCGGAGATGCGGGGGCTGAGAAAACTTGGACCACAGTGAACGAGCAGTGGCTGACATTCCTCATCCCCATTTCCTGGAAGGCGGGCTTTGGATGCGCCCCTCCAATGTGGCATCACTGCTCTCTCCCTCGGGGTGGCTTGAGGAGAAATGGGTCCAAGGGCAGCAGTAGCCTTTAGTGATGTCCCTTTTCTGTGGTATTTGTTGCAGATCAGCTGAGGTCCAGCCTAGCCCTCAGGCACCATGTCAGACAGCGACCTGGGTGAGGATGAGGGCCTCCTCTCCCTGGCTGGCAAAAGGAAGCGCCGGGGCAACCTGCCCAAGGAGTCGGTGAAGATCCTGCGGGACTGGCTGTATTTGCACCGCTACAACGCCTACCCCTCGGAGCAGGAGAAGCTGAGTCTCTCGGGACAGACCAACCTCTCTGTGCTGCAGGTACGTGCACGCGTGGCTGGTGGCTGGACGCAGACCCAGGTCCACCCCCAACTCCCATGGGACCTGTGCTGGACCTCTCCTCTCTCTCTGAGGTGTCTCGAGGCTGGGAGAGGATCCCCAGGGGACATTGAGTTCTGGGATTTGGCTCCCTGCTCCCCAGCCCCAGAGCAGTGTCTGGAAGGGGGTCAGCAGATAACCTGCAGTATGGTTAAAAAATGGGTCGGGATTTTGCTCAAGGGAAGGGTGGAAGTCGGGGGATTGGTTCAAATCCTGCTTCTGCTCCCTGACATCTGGGGGCCGTGTGGTCATTTCCAGACTGGGAGACAAGGATTCATTCCTCCCTGCCTGGTGACATTATTGGGAGAACTTGATGTGCATTGTAAACACCTTTACATGGGAACCTGGAGCCAGTGCCACCCCTTTGTGCCAGTGCAGGGCTGTTGGCTGCAGGGGCTGCTCTGTGGGCACTGTGCTTAGGCAGGATGCTCCCCCCTCCCCAACCCCGTCTAGTTTGTCTCTCCTGCCCTGGAGACATATCCACCCAGCCCTCCCCCAACATCTGTCCTTCCATGGCTCCTTACCTGTTGGTTCTGTGCACCCACCTCTGTATCCCCCAGCCCCAGTCTTGGCAGCATGGCTCCCCGGGGCCCAGCAACTCCTCTGAAGAGACAGTTCTTCACCTGGGAACTTGGGTCACTTGACCTGCTCCCTGGACAGGCCTTCCTAGGCCACAGCACTGCAGTCTTCCCTCTGAGCCCTGACTGCTCTGGTGAAGGGGGCAGGCTGAGGGTTTCTCTGGGCTGTTTGTGTGGGGTTCCCAAGGGCCCTTCTGTTTCAGGTCTCCTCATCTCACCACCTGGTTCATAAATTTCATCCTGACTGGGGTGTGGCCATAAGGACCATCTCCCTCAGGGCACTCTAACACCTAGCTCCATGCCACAGGGACACCCTCGTGGAGTAGCTGGCCAGACTCAGCCTGTTTTGTTTACAGAAGTGATGGCTGCTGGGACAGAGGGCAACAGAGACCCAGCAGGGCAGGTGGAAGTGGCCTTGAACCTGCAGCATGTAGAACTGTACATGCAAATGGTCTGCTGCCTTGCTCCTTGAGTTCATCCTTTTGAACCCCAAAACGCAGATCTCCTGTCAGGCACTCCACAGTCCTTAAGGTAAAGTGTACACTCCCAGAAGCTCCCTGTTGTCCTGGTCAAAATGCTGGTCAGGCCACTGTTGCAGTTGCTTTTGTAGGAAGTACTAGTCCTACTGCGCCTGCTCTTGGGGTAAGATTTACTCACTTACTGGAAAGGCAGAGTGACAGAGAAAGAGATCTTCTCTCCTCTGGTTCATTCCCCAGCTGCTCCCAACAGCCAGGCTGGACCAGGCCAAAGCCAGGCACATGAGCAGCAGAATTCAAGCACATGGGCCATCTTTTGCTCCTTCTCTGGCCCATTAGCAGGGAACTGGATGAAAGTAGAGCTGCTGGACCTAGCGCCTACCACTCCAGCAAGGATGCCAGCATCACAAGCTTCTGCCCAACTCTAAAACCCACTAAACAGGGCCCTCCTGTGTGCCTGCGTCCCCTGAGAACAGGGGCTCCAGTGGCAAAACCCCCCTTGGGATCTGCACACAAACAGGGCGGCAGCACAGCCACAGCTCCCACCAGGAGAATTCCAGGGCAAGGAGGGTCCCCAGATCTCAAGGACCCTGCTAAGCCGAGTCTAAGGGAGACTACAAGTGACCATCATGCATGAGCCTGTCAGGGCATCCTCAGTGAGGGTAGTCAGTCACCAAAGTGTGCAGACAAGGCACACACCTGTGAGATTGCTCCAGTGTGGCTTGCCCACAGCAGACCAAGTTGGCACTGCCTGGTAACTTGTCATTTTCTTAAGCCCCTCCTCTCATGTCTCCAGTCTCATCCCTGGGCCACAGGCAACTTCGACCTAACGGTCAGTGTCCCCAGCCCCAGGACTAGCTGCCCCTGGGGTACCACAGTTGGAAGCAGGGACCTGGGATTGTTATTGCAGGGGCCTCAGACCCAGGGCTTAACAGCCAGGATCTGGCTCCGAAGTAAGGGGCTTAGTGTGGCTCCTCATGCATCTTCTCTTTTCTTGTATGTAATTTTTTTAGATTTATTTATTTTTATTGGAAAGTCAGATTTAGAGAAAGATCTTCCATCTGCTGATTCACTCCCAAAATGTCCATAATGGCAGGGGTTGAGCTGATCCAAAGCCAGGTGCTTCCTCTGTGGTTCCCAAGGCTTTGGACTATCCTCCACTGTTTTCCCAGGCCACAGGCATGGATCTGGGTAGGAAGTGGAGCAGTTCAAACACAAACCGGTGTCCACATAGGTTGCCTGCACCAGCAGGCAGTGGATTAGCCAGTTGAACCACAGCACCAGCTCTTAGTACCTAATTTCTAAAGGGATTTTCAGATATTGACCAGAAAGTGAGCAACTATAGCAAATACTGCAGTGCCTTTACCAGGCTTGCACTAGTCTCCACTTTGTCTCCTTATCTCTGCCTGGGTCATCTCTTTTGATTGTCTCCAGTAACTTGCCTGCGGGAAGTGTCTTATTAGCAAGTCTATAAGTCAGTTAGCTAAATGATTTAACTAAGTGGTGTGCTGGAGCTTACACTTGGGAGGCAGGGTTAGAAAAACATTAAAAGCCTTCTGTGAAGGATTTTACTGGTTGTGTGGGCGGGGCGGGGGTTGGGTGGAGCTGGAGGTTGTACCCCTTGGGTGCTTTCCAGACTCCTTTGGAGCCACCTGGGAGGCTTTGGAGCACTCTTCCCCACCCTTGGTTGGGGCTACAAGCCAAGCCAAGCCCAGTGCTGCCGGCAAGCTGGAAACAAGCCTCTTAGTCATTGTCCTCCGGTGTCCGAGTTTAGGAGTGAACCAGTGAATGGAAGATCTCTTTCTTCCAGCTGTAACTCTGCCTTTCAACTAACTAACTGATCAACTACACACACACACACACACACACACACACACACACACATATGCACGCATATATATATTTAAGGTGGAGTCTGTTTAGAAAAAAAATATTTATTTTTATTGGAAAGGTAGACTAGCAGGAGAGATAGAGAGGCCTTTCATCCACTGATTCACTCTCCAAGTGGCCACAGTGACCGGAGCTGAGCCGACGGAAGCCAGGAGCCAGGAACTTGTGGATCTCCCACATGGGTGCAGGGTCCCAAGGCTTTGGGCTGTCCTCTAATGCTTTCCCAGGCCACAAGCAGGGAGCTGGATGGAAACTGAAGCGGCTGCACCCATTATGGGATGCTGTTGCCGCAGGGCATAGGATTAGCTTTTGAGCTACTGCCCTCAGCTCCATGGTGGATGTTTTTGATCTAGTGAAGTTTTCTGGCTCAACCAGCAAGGGCAGTTCAGCCAGTGGCCAAAGCATCTGAAGCCCCTCGGTTCCCGACTCCACTCCTCACATCTGACTAGAGAGCTTTCCAGGGAATGAAAGGTTTCTTGAAGTCACTCCCAGGACCTTGGTGGTGCCTGGGCTGTAGCCAGCCTTCACCCAGGGCTGGGGGCTGAGGCTTCCTGTCCCTCCGCAGCCACCCTTCCTCGCTTCCCCATACCCTCCTTGCCCCCGGTCACAGGGTTCCTCCCTTGCCCTCACTCAGCCACTGATACATGAAGCACTGAGACAGCAACTTCTCCAGCGGCCCTATCACCTCCTGGGACCTTGAGGGCGCAGCAGGCACGGGCTGGACAGAACTGCCCCCACAACTGCCACCCACCTCCGCCTGGCCTCTGCATTTGTATGGGTGGAGAAGACAAAACAGCCTGCCAGCTTCCAGGGGAGTGTGGAGGGGCTGTTCCCTTGTTCTCAACAGGAGCCCAGAGAGGAGGTATGAGGGGGGGACTCAGAGACCACAGCTCCCTCCCTGTGGTTGCTGTCTCCAGTCTCTGTGCTCTAAGTATACAACCCCCTACACACACACACACACCCTGGGTGGGGGGGGGGGCGGAGATGGGGAGGCGTGCACCCTCAGGGCTTATTGATTCTGTGTTGGTTTCAGTGCCTGGGGCCATGTCATGGGACCCCTGTAAGGCTCTGCTGAGGGCAACTGATTCCTCAGTGGGTACCTCTCAAACCCCATCTCTTGGATCCTGGGCTGCTGGGCAATGAGAGTGGTACCAGAAGATTTGAGTCGCACATGGTGCGATATATCTGGTATTGTGGTGTTCGCCATTGGGCCAGCATCCTGAGGCCGGGAGACCTTTGTTGGGGTTCATTTTTTGAAGAGTCCGTTGTTTCTTTTGAACTCTTGGGAATCCCTCTTTAGCTAGGTCCTTGCCAAAGCATAGTGCTGGGCCTAGAGAGCTGTGCTGGGACCCAGGTGGCATGGCTTCATAGGGCACTTTATTTAGTCTCTTCGTTAGTTTGGTAGCTGCTCAGTCCCTGCTTGTTGGGGGCATACAGGTAACAGCACAGGTGAGGAGACCCTGCTATCGGGGTGCTGGTGAGTTTGTCTCCCCGCCACCTTTTTGATGGCTGTTCAGCCCTGCCCCTCTTGGGGGCTCCCCTGCTCAACTAGTGAGTGCTAATGCCTGCTGCTTCCCTGTGGAGGGGCTGCAAATAGACACGGGGAGGGGCAAGATGAGGCTGGAGTCCATGGAAGACAGTACCAAACGCTTGCTGAGAGATGGGCCAAGCAAGACACCTCAGATGACCAGGAACAGAAACCAGTGTCAAAGGCCAGGACCTCTGAGCTGTGTAGCGGACGTTCAAGGAATGCCAGGCATGGCATGGCTGCAGCCCACATAGTTGCCCACGCCAGCCGCAGGGGCGGGACAGCTGGCACTCTGCAGGATCTAGCATGCGCCAGTTCAGTCAAGCCGCTAGTGGGCCTCCCAGGATTAGCCTTGCCTGTTTGTTTGTTTTGTTATTTAAAGATTTCCTTTATTTGGAAGGCAGAGTAACAGAGAAAGAGTTTGAGGGAAGACAGCCTCCATCCGCTGGTTCACTCCTCAGACGGCCACAG